TTTACCAAGAAATACGTTTATGATAAAATTTTGGAAAATGGGCGTGGCACCGCCCACTTATGATCACATATATGTATCTCGGTAACCGTTCTATCAATTTGTACCAAACTCGGTATGGTTATTGTGATTGACACATAAAAGCAAAACGTTGAAAATTATTGAAAATGGACTCAAATTACGGACGCTTTTTATGTAACGGTAAATTTCAGAAATGCTTGAAACTTCAATATTTGGGCTTACCATCTAGCGGTAGGTTTCGGAATGGTGAAAAAACATATATTTAATACTTGCGCCGGGCATTTAATGTTTGGCTCCGCCCGAAATTAGACTTTCTTACTTGTTTATTGTTGATTTCGGCTGAATAACCCTTCGCTAAAAACATTTATTCCTTAAATTTTTTTAGAAGCGAAGAATCTTCTACAAATGGGCTTAGAAATGTGAGGGTCAGAGCTAAAAAATAGAGCGTTCTTCAAATCTAAAATAGGGTGTTCCCGGAAAATTTCCTGAGATAGGGCGTTTTCAAACTGGCTGCCGAGATAGGTAGATCTTTCACTCAAGCATCGCTATCTCGTACAAAAACATTATGTAAAACTAATAAAAATATCCTTATTATATCATAAGGTTATCTCTTTCGAATTAGCCTGGTTTTGAATATGGACAATAATTTTGGAAACTAAATACTAAAAAAATTACACCTTGCAAATTATTAAGGGAATTTCGAAGGCTTAAATTTCTAAGTACATTTATTTTATTTCTTTCTTTGTAAATAAAAATCAACATCCTTGTTAGTTTTCCTTTTAGCACTGTTTCAAAATTTCTGTTAAACTATTTTTAACCACATATTTAATAGTCTGTAAAAAATGAAACGCATGTCCGAGCATATCAAAATATATTTGCAAAGCACTACTAAAAACATAACACTTCGTTGATTCCCCATTTTGAGAAGAATAACAACAAAGCACTGCAGGCAGTAAAGAAAGCGCAGTTACACCTTTACTTATGTACGAAAGTGTTTAAGTGTTAAATAAGATACACCAAGCAAAGAAATCTACTTCCGATAATTAATTAAATAAATCGAGTAACTAAACTATTGCTGAAATTTAATAAATGCAACAAACCCACTGGGAAAATACAACAACAACATATGCTATTAAATAATAATAAAAATTAAAGTAAAACTAACTAAACGACCATATAAATAAATAAAAATAAAAAAATAAAACCATTATGGCGAACACTGCACAACTTTTGCGACGACAAAGCTCGCGCGACATCGTGCTGAAGAGTCAGAAGAGCATTGACCATATGGAATTACGGGTAGGTAGCTTAAGCGTAGAAAAAGGATGAAATATTTCAAATAATTCAAATCAATAAACATTAACTTTTTTTTTAAACAAATACATACACAATTATGTAGCATCATGAAAAAAAAGCGCCATCATTTTAAAATAAACTTCTTCATTTCATTTGTGCCAAAAAACATTAATGTAACTACCTTTCATCTGGTTTTTTGTTTTGCAAATTCTTTTTCTTTAAAGGAAATGCGTGGTCGTCTTGTACCCAAAGAACACCATGGCAGTGGGACACATCATCATCACCCCCACCATCATCAGCCACCTATGTATGGTGCAACCAATCAAGCATTTCTGGGTGATGCTTTTGATGAATCGACCGAATTGGAACCGGACGGTTTCGGTGCAGAGGCGAGTACCAGTAAATCAAAAGCTGAATTGGCAGCGGCAGTTTCGGCCACAGTTGAAGCAGCTGAAGAGGACATTGTCGAGGGTGGAAAGGAGGGTGATGAGCGCGAAAGTTGGGACAATAAAATCATGTTTCTGCTAGCTACTATAGGGTAAGTGAAATGCTATGACAAGGGTGCTAAAAAAAAATAAATTTTTTTTGACTAAAAAACAAAATTTCCATCTTTAAGCTATGCCGTTGGCCTGGGTAATGTCTGGCGTTTTCCCTATTTGGCGCAAAAAAATGGCGGTGGTGCCTTTCTTGTGCCCTATTTCATAATGTTGTGCATACAGGGATTGCCGATATTCTATCTAGAATTGGCTGTAGGCCAACGACTGCGCAAAGGTGCGATTGGTGTGTGGAGTCAGGTAACTAAGAAAAATAACAATAAGGGGTAGCATACATACATATGTATATTTAATAATTAAATATTTTAACCCATTCTCTTACAGGTCTCGCCCTATTTAGGCGGCATTGGCATTTCATCCGCAGTTGTCAGCTATATAGTGGCTTTGTATTATAATACCATAATTGCCTGGTGCCTCATATACTTGTTGCATAGTTTTGAGTCACCTTTGCCGTGGGCCGATTGCCCCACACGCCTCTATGCCAATTATACTTATGACCATGAGCCGGAATGTGTGGTAAGAAATAAATCTATGTACTTTACACTCCATATCTGCTAAATAAGACTACATGCGCATTACAACATTTGCCACACCATGCAATGTCATAAACACACTTACACTGCATGAGCGAATACATATATTGAACATCTTTCATTCGAGCACCAATAAAAAAATGGCTGGAAGAGTTGTGAGTATATTTATATAAAAAAAAAATACATACAAATATACTTACATAAGTAGGTATGTATTTGTGCCATGTTGCATTACACTGCGTATTGTAAGGCTAACGAGTAGGCAAGATGTTGCTCATATGGAAATTTATTAAAGGATTTGATTAGGGATATACCCAAAGGGTGGATTAAACTTATTTAATTTTTCAAACCGGTTTCCACAATCTTATTTTTCGTTTTAAGCTTTTTTTTAAGTCGGCAAAAATTGATTTATCGCCAAAGAGCTTCTAGGCCTATTTACCAAAAAATGCTGATTTTGTACTGAACTACTTAAAAATTTCGGAGCAATAGTTTTTTGATATACCTACATATGTATGTACTAAGTATAATAGTAAGGTTGACACAAAATTGTCATCTTGCGCACAGATTGTATTTGGAGCATAATGAACCATATTGTTGCTATTACCAATCAAAATTCTAAAAAAGCTGATTTACGGTTATTACCTTTAACGATTTATTTATCTTATCGGTCTATTTCGGCTTATTGGCATAGACCTACATACGTCTTTAGAAAAACCCACAAGAAAAAGTCTAGCGGAATTAAATCATACAATCTGTGAGAGATAACCATATCCTCAAATCATTTATGCGGAATGTGCATAGTAGTGGTGCCATGATGAATTGGCATCAGTGTCTGTAAAATAAATTTTAGGTTAGAAATACGCTAGGAAAACAACATCGCCATTGGAAACAATATTCGAGCCTTTTCAAGTTTAAAAAATTTACGGCAAATGCACCTTCCGCAGAAAAAATTGCAATTTTGTCTATAAAAATAAAAACTCTAACTCTAAGTAAGCCAATATGAAAGTTTCCTTAATAGCCGTAAATAATCTCTAGTGAGCTAAGCAACTAAAAGTATACCCCAGTAGATAATTTCAGGAGCTAAAATCCCTTTCAAGAGCCCGTCATGATTGTCAAGAGACCTTCTACTCTGCATTATTTTCTCCTTTCTTTTTTGTATGGATGGCGCAAATCGAAGTCCTATTTCAGAAGGCCTTTTGGAGTCCTTATAAAGCTGCTTCTTTCATTCATAAAAATCATACTTTCTTAAGGTATTTATTTATAAACTTTCAAAATGAAATATGTTTTATTGCAATCGAAAATGCATATTTAATCTCATTTATAATGTTAAATATTATAAAATTACACATTCGCGTAAATTGTAAATAGAAAAAGCCCTTATAGAAGGCACTTAAGACGGCCTACTTATATTATATACCGGGACGCGCTTGTGCTCGCTAACTTTGTTATGCATTCCCAATACAAAACATTGCTACATATCATAACTTTTGCTGTGACACTTTACCATTTTACAATTTCACAAATTCGTTCGCTCCGAAAAAAAACTCACAAAACTACCAAATGAAACTTTAAACTGCAAATA